GACAATCATTTCACCGACAGTACGTTTCACCGACATAAATTTCATCGAAAACCAATGATAAGTGCGATAAACAATGTATCACGTGAAATGACTGTCGGTGTAAGTGTACTGTCGGTGAAATGATTGTCGATGAAATAGGAAGGATTGGGAAAACCGAATTCTGTCAATTGCTTTTATTACCACCTAAGAGAAATAGCACGAGTTTATCGTAACTGTAAATTATCAGATCATTGCAGCTGCTACTACTAATTAATATAACTTTACACATTATTTATTACAAACAGTGTCTACTTTTTGTTAACCACAATATCTGATATTAAATAACCGCGAGCTTGCATGGGAGGCAAACTAGTACTAAAAGTAGTCAGACACCCAAAGCCTGTCTCGGAAGACGATAACTACTCCTATTCTTTGGGCTCGCGAATATTTACTAATATTATCACTACTGTTATCGTTATTTTTAAAATTACTGCCATCGCGAATTATTTCTCTGTGCTACTCAAAAATAGATTTCTGCTACTGCTACTAGAATTATCCTTTCTTTCACAATCCGAGCTTCGATTTTGTCTAATAATGTTCTCCGCGGACATTTTTGATGCCGATAGAAACTTGCAAGCGTTGTTGGACTGAGACTTATTTCTTCGGACAAGACATTGTATATTTGTGTAGGAGAACGTTTCTCTTTTTTCCTTCTTTCATCAAACAAGGCAGGAAATTATCCCAGAGGGTTTCAGTTTCAATAAAGTATTCATATCCGTAACTTTGAACAGATGCTTGTCCTTATTAAAAATTTTATAAAATAATGAGTGAGGATGCTTCGCATCATCTAAGCTTTGAAGAAGAATACTATACAGCGGATGAAGAAGACCACGCAGGTGGCTTTGCTCCGCAAATAAATGATATTGACCAGCCATTATCTCCAGTCTATCCCAATTATATTCGGGTTGTCGTCTGTTTTTGCTATTGGGGTGATTTGAGTTTGGGAGTTTGGATTTGGGATAGATCATTTGTAATTCTTCGGTGTTCGTTTTTATTTGATATGAGGAGTTCTCTTCTAGCTTTTTAATTTTACCATTGTTTAACAGTCGAACATTTTAGCGATTATATAATAATAATTAAATGTAATCACAAATTCACTTTATAATTGGATACATTCACTATAGTCTGAGAATGTTTCCAAATCTATTTGTATCTCACTTGGTGCAAAACTAATAATAAAAACCATTACATAATATTATTCTCGGAAAAAAATTATCAGAAATTGGCATTAGTCTGATTCAAGTGCGAATAAGGGATGGGAAAAGAGAATGGCAATATGTTCTTAATAATTCTAAAATTATGACAAGATAAATAAATAATTTGGTAATACTGCGAAGTATCGCTGAGCGATTTTTAATTTAAACACATTTACTATATGTTGTAGGAAAGAGTTTCTACCAGTCGTTGGTATAATAATAATCATTCTCGCAAAGCTTATAAAATTCCCGCTGTCAATAATTGCGGTTTGTAGAGTAACTGTGTCAGTCTGAAATTTTTTGACCAGAGGATTAAATTTGTGTGTCTGCGAAGCAGGGCGCTCTGCGCCTCACATTATAATAATACCGATCTCGAGCATGTTTCATAAATATGCCACCTGGCCGATAAAGCCGTTCAATTACTACATTCTGGATTTTTTAGTTGAATTAATACGTTTTTTCCATTGACAAAATATTCGCTGGATAATAGCTGCTGCTCGGTTTTTTTTATACAAAGTTACAAAATATACTACTTGGATTTTAAATCCCCTAAATTCAGAATTATAACCAACTATATAACCATTTCTGGTTAAATTGTTTTCCAACCGTCCTGATAAGAAATGTCAAATCCAGGTATTAATGAACGTCTACGTATATTTTTGGGTGGACGATATTTTGCGAATTGTAACCAAGCTCGCGGTGTTTAATATATATTCAGTTAACCTGTTTCGGGCATATTTGTTTTTTGCACCATTCCCTTATAATATCTTGAATATTGGTCAGACGTGTGGATTTTAATAAAGACTTTTTTATTTAATTGTTGGCTAGCTTCGGCTTTCTTCCTTGGCTGACGATGCAAACTAGATCTCATCGTACTTGAATCGCAAACTCGTCGTCACTTGGTCAATAACGTTTTTTTTTCCCCCAGCTACCTCTACCTGCCAACTCCGCAGGCCAACTCCGCAAGCCAACGCCGCGAGCCAACAACTCCTGCAATGACGACGCAAACATAATCCCACCATACTCCAATAGTTGTAATCCGGTCAAAAAACCATCTCCAGAAGAAGTGGTATATTTTGGGGATAGTTATAGCTATGGTGCTCTCATCAGCTATCATATTTGGCAATCGAAGTTACTAAAATTAGCAATCACTGTATGGAGGTACCATAAATAGTAATTGACAGTAATCGTACTATTGTCTCTACTACAATCTATAAAGAAATCTTTCTGGCAAAAGCTTATGAGCACCTCCCCTTTAACTCAATTTGTCAGGGGAGGTAAGCTGATGAGAGCTCCCCGCATTTGCATTTTCAAGAACTGCCATATTAATATGCTCTTCAAGATAGCCCATTAATATTTCGCTATTGTACTAAAATTGGTAAGGAAGATAAGTTTGGCAAAATTACCTACTACTAAATATGGTGGTACTGACACTGTACATTGCAGGGGAGGTTGAAAACCTGCGCGACGCGTGAATGAACATGTCCCTCGAAGACGGCAAGGAAAGTTTAGGGTTTTAGCGTGATTTTGATAAAGGAAAAGATTTGCTTTGCAGAGATCGGCCTGCTATAATCAAAACATGCTCGATATTAACTCAACACCGCATTTACTACGATGCCATGTATCCACCACAATCCACTGTCAATAACAATATTCGTCATTGAAATCAAAAACACAATACGCTTTATGAACAAACTTCGAACTTGTTTGCATTGATGGCAGCCGAGACAATGCTTAATATAAATAGGATGACCCCCTCCCTCACAATCGATGGGAGGCAATGCAAAAACTTCAATAAAAAGTTAATACGCGATTCGGATAGGTGTTGAAACGAACACACAAACCAATTACATATCTTATTAGAAAACCCATACATTGTTTATACATTTATATAATTATATACCAGAAACTCTACGTCCTTTAACAAATACGTCTATAATATTTCTATCATCACCTAAAAATATAAACTTTTCAAATACACGCCCGATATCGTCTATGTCGAAAATATCGATGGGAGATCCTTCTGCACAAGGGTCGATCAAAAGTGCATCAAAATCCTTCCCGACTTCAAAATTCCCAATGATGTCCTGCAAATTAACCAACTCTGCTCCGCCCATTGTAGCCAAGAAAACCAACTCGGATAATTTAAGATGATCCTCATTCCCATCTCTCATAGCAATAACTCTACTGGCTGTACTTGCACTACGCATAGCATCCAAGATAGTCTTACTTCCTCCACCGCTTATATCAGTCCCGAGACCGACTTTGATACCATCTCGCAATAATTGGCGAACATTGCATACACCGGATCGAAGAGCCAAGTTCGAATTAGGGCAATGTGATATACCAACATTGCGTTGCTTAAGCAGATCTCTTTCATCATTCGTCAGGTGCACTCCATGAGCCATGATCGTTTTATGATTGAGTAACCTATGATGATCATACACTGACGTATAATCCTTTATGTCTGGAAACAACTTGGAGACAAATGCGATTTCCGAAGTGTTTTCCGATAAATGAGATTGTATAGGAACATCATGCTTTGCTGCAATGTCTGCGAGAGCAATCATAAGCTTTTCAGAACAAGTAATAGCAAACCTCGGAGTCACTATAGGCTGTACTAAATTTTGACCCGCATCAAGATCAAGCACATATTTCACAAACTCTTCTGTATGCAGTACACTATCATTACAATTCTCAATGTAGTATTCAGGAGAGTTTCTATCCATGTTCACTTTGCCAATGAAACCCCGCTGACCACTACCTTTTACCGTTTCTGCTAGATACTTTGAAGATTCCAGATGAATCGTTGCATAGTATACGGCGGTCGTCGTGCCGTTGCGAAGCAGATGGGAGACGAAGCGAGGGTAGACTTTCGCCGCGAATTCGATTGATGAGAACGACTGTTCTAACGGGAATGTGTACTTGTCGAGCCACTCAAGTAGTGGGAGATCCATTCCTGTGCCTGCGTTGGCATACTGAGGGGCATGCTGTGTGAAAAATATAATTGGTTAAAAGAAAGACTTGGGATTTTGACACGAAAAGGAGAAAACAGACTTACCGTATGAGTGTCTATAAAACCGGGCATTATGAATTGCCATTTGGATAGTCGTATGAATTTCTGAAAAATTTAACAAAGGTCAACGACGAGCAACTGTTAGAGCAATGGGTTCTCATATACAAGTGTTCAAGTGGTCTTAATGATCTCTACCGAATCTTCAGCCAGGTCTTCCAAAATACTATCCAGTTTCTCCGTTTCCACGTCCTCTTGCAATGAAACAATCTTTCCATTACCGTCTACGCCTAGTAATCCATTCTTTATAATATGCAGTTTGTCCAGAGACAAGGAGTGTATTATTGTCCCATAAATTAGTTGTTTGACGCTGGACATTGTGGGTAAAGTCTTGCTGCAAGGCATTGAGCGATGCGCATTATTACTAGCAATATCATCTGAATTTGGAAATTATTATCCCTAGCGCTGGAGCCCCAATGCGACAAATAGAAATTCCAATTTTTAGACTGCATAATAACATTTGAAAGAAAGGAAAAAAAGACCGTCGCGTTTACTTGGTACTGCCTGCCACCATTGTTCGGTCTTGTGTCAACGCGTTACCGTACACGATTATTTTTCTTTCCATCTCACGTTTCTTCCACTTCAAGTCTACTAACTCATAAGACGTCCGCATAATACCAGCACAACAAGCTGCGCAAAGAGTCGTTGTAAATTAGAAAGCGTTGAACCCTTATTTGGTGACGATCAACGAGCTAAAACCCGAAATTGCACACGTGCAATAAATAATAGTCGCTCGCTCAATTATTGACTGAGAGACGACGCATAAACAAGAATAGGCATAATATTTTATGCATTTATAGAACAAAAAACAATTTAGTGTTGTTTTTCTTATTGTAACAGAATTACTCATAATAATTTTTTTTCACAGAGGATTGTGAGAAACATGTGTGAATACTAAAAATATTATAGCATTTGAAAAAATACATGCAGTGTTTTCTTCACTTAACTATCGCGATGAACCTTTGTTTTCTTCACTTAACCCAACTACATTGTGCATAAAAATTCTACATAACATCAAATATCTCTTGTTGGATATGAAACAAATCAATGACCACATTATTTGCGATTGGATATGGTGGGAGTGGTGGATTTTGGCGAGGACAGCCTCTGAAAATGCAATCTGGTAAAATATTCAAAGTGCACATTCCCACAGCAGTGCATCCATTGTATTGTTGATGTCTTCTATCGATGGTTCCAAATTCAATCTAAAAAATCAATATATAAAGTGATATTGTAAACAAAACAAATAGAGATCATAATCATCTTAATCCTTACCATTTGAACTGGCAAGTAGTTTCCACACGCAGGGCTTTTTCTACAACAGAACTTATACCACTGCCAGAAACATAGAATAATTATTAGTCAAATAAAATAAATAAATGGTACCAAAGAATAACACTACACCAAACTGTTAAATGGCGCAAGGGCGTTCCGTTTTGGGCCCTCCTTGAATCCCATTTCCATAATTTCAATACAATAACATCTTTAACACGATTTGGGGCCAACCAGAATTGGGTGGTCTTATCTATTATTATTATACTTGCAAGGCTTGTGTACCAGCAGCCTCAACAATAACAATTGGCAGTCCCGTGACTTCCGAATGATCTCCGATGCAGAGGTTTTCCGGAATCGACACATATGGATATATTCGTGCTACATTCTCAAATTCTGGGGGTATTATCTTTATTTAGAAAGGAACTCACTTGCGCGACACTTCGATTCTTCGTTTTGACTTTGTAGCCTTTGGTCAGTTAACACGTATTAATATACTGTAGCATATTGTATGAAGCAGAAATCGCGGGTAATTTGTTTGTCACTAGTCACTGAAACTATTACTATGGGTAATAACAATTTCGGGTAAACGTGCAGTATTAATGTACAGTTAAGGTACACTTATACAGTTATTGTTATTAACAAGCACATCTCTTTATTATTAAACTATATTTGTCATTTTCGTTATTTTCTATATGTCAATATGTAATGAAGAGAGTTGAACTACTTTGAATAAGTTGTTAATAATGACTGGCTGTTTTGGGTTCTGGCGTGCGTGTGAGTCCTATCTAGTGGCAGATTCATAGTTTCAGTTCTTAACACTTAAATTGAAGATCTGCTTTAACAAAATCTCCACTCTCTCGATTGGTGCTGTCAAAGATTGCAATGCCTTGTATAAATGTACTAGCATTGACAACTATCGCCCACTCTCACAGTGTTGATTAACGTTTCCTCTATATTAACCATTGAGTATAAACAAATCGCGTCTACTGATATATTGGGATCTTGTCTCACATTGGGACTACCCCATTTCTCCTGTATCGCGAACATATCAGTATAAGTCTATTCTGGAAAGCCTCTTGTATCGGAAATCATTCGGAAGTCACGGGACTGCCACTTTTTTGTGGCATGACTAATCCACTTTCAATCACGCAAATAAGGAAAGAATTAGAATATTATTATTAATAAGGAGTTATCAGGAGGATCGAGATAAACATCATGCTTAAAACCAGGTTCAATGAAAGATGAATGGAATGGAAATCAGCTTGCAAATGAGTACTTACGGGGGGATCAAAAGTATTGCACGCTTTTATTTTTACAATATTGGAAAAATTTTTTACTCAAACCCCCCAAAAAATTTTATTTACTTAAAGTAAACATCAATATTTAATATTTCCTCCATTTGCAGCAATCACAACTTAAATTTGGTTGAGCATGAATAATATTAAATTACGATATACTTTTGCAAAAGCGCATTGCATTGTTCTTTACAGATCATACTTTCGAAGTTTTCCCTGATTCATAGTAACAAGCTCCGAAAACCCGTTGGAACTGTTGTGCGATGGTTTCTTATCATTTTTGCGATTGTTGTGTTCTTGGCTAGCTAGTTTTTTTATTGTCATTATGTGGAATAAGCTCTCTAGCAAGACTCATTTATGCGCCGAAGCAGAAAATTGGGCTTTTTACTAATTAATTATTCTGCTCATAATGACACGCTATATTAAATTAACATTAATGTTTTATTAAGACAAGTGATACAGTAAGTGGTCCAAAAGTTGGTTTTTTTATTGCATAGAAAATTTTCCAATATCGTAAAAATAAAAGCGTGCAATACTTTTGATACCCCCCCTGTACGACTGTCATCAACTTTTATAATGGGCAAACGCGGAAAAGGGAATAATATCAATCAGTCAACTATTAAAGTCCTCCCATTGTGCCCTGGAAAGGGCATCTCTTTGTAAGATGCAACCTCTTCACTGCCTTTGGATTTAATCAGCTAGGTGAATCGGAAAAAGACTAAGACTTTGGCTTGGGATCGACCACCACAGAGGGTTTGGGCTATCTTAGACATTGATGTTACTGGAGGTGCAATTTCTGCCGTTAATGACCCGGGGACATTTTTGGTATCATCATCGGTGATGAGGAGCATCAGATCGATCGCCTTCTCTAATTCACTACCAGAGTCTTCTGCAGCAGGTCTACATAGAAACGAGTACTCAACTCAGCTAGGTCCTGATCGGATTGATTCTTGCTTGACAGCCACTGGCGCGTCGTCGTACAACTTTGAGCTGCTTCCAATACGTTACAATTATTTGCATGAAACACACACGATACCGTTTGTTGCTGCTGGGATTTCCCGAAAAACGCTTTCAAGCGTCGGAGCCGATCAAGCGCAGGTGAAAACGCCAACGCCGATGACGCGATGACGACGGAGGAGATCCTGGCGACTTTGAACGTGTCGAAGAGAGCTCATGGACGGTTGCATTCCTCTGAAAAGCACGCTACTGTTGTTCTTTCTGTCGACGTCGATGCTTCTTCCGGTGTTGCGCTCGTGATTCCAAAGAAGCCGCCACCGCGTCAATTTTGTCTTCCCCTTTAATGGCACGTAATAACCGGAAGTTCTTTCTATTTCCGAGTCTAGCAATACTTTCTCCAGAGCACTCGTACTTATAAGTAGTAGTAGAGACAGAAGTCAGCCGTGGCCGGCTGAAATGGTTTATGGCCGATGAAAACTTTACTATACAAGGTATACTCAGCTGGTCGACTAAGCTGATAAATTTTTGCTAAATAAAGTATGTATTGCTGGCCGACTAGGTTAATAATATATAGTGTGCAAAATGCCTACGACCAAGTCGGCCAGGCCGATAAGATCCTTCTTTAATAGACAAATATTGCTACATATGTCGAACAAGTCAGTTTATGAGAAAAAAGGGAGTGGGAAATGGTGAGAGGAAAAAAAAAATAATATGGTTTAATGGAATCATGTACATATACATACACGTTTAACTAAATACGACTATGTCAAGCCGACGGAAAAGCAAACTAATAACATTCTATTAGATAACGGAGATTATGTGTATTAAGATATTGACATGTATTCGATGTGTTTTCTTATTATCTCAAACACGCTTGTTTAGATGATATTGTTTCAGTTACGTGGTATATAACGCTAAGGAATTGGCGTGATAATTGTTTTCCTTGTTTTTACCATTGCTCAAGAGCACTATTTCAACGAAGAGTTGATATGAATTAATAAAATATATATGCACATATGTTACTGAGGTAAATTTACTAAAATTGGAATGACCGACTGAAGGCTGACTGAGCCAAAAATCTCGTATCAGCAGGCTGGCCAATAAATTTTTGTCAGTCTCCATCTCTAGTAATAGGGATATAAACGAGGCACGATCATAATAGATTATTATAATAATAAGGCATGGGAAATCGGGACCATAGAATTTTGGGGATAGGGATATATACAAATGAGGTAGATTTATACTGATATACAAGTGAGTCTCGATATAACGACACTGCCATCTCGTTATACTGACAAAAATCCTGGAACAAAAAATCTATATAATGAAATTTATTCGATGTAACAAAATTATAATTTTTCGTTATAACGGTATAACGACATTTTTCGGGAAATGCTTATTGGACAAACCTTAATAAAGTGTCGGGATATAACGACAGTCGTTATACGCAAATTTGAGTGACACGTCTCCTTTTTTGTTTATTAAGCTCCATTTTAAGTTAACTGAAAATTTTTTTCATTAATATTAATACAATACACGTACTTATCTCGTTCATTTACTTAAACATAAGAATTAATTCTTAATGTCATTAACAAGCAGAAAAGATAGGCAGAAAATCTATCATAGTGTTATTATTATAATGCTTGACCAATTTAGAAAAAAACTTAGCAGTGCAATCCTTGTAGTTGTCAACCCACTTAATTCGGACTATAACCCACCCGAAAATGACGATCATTTTGCATTTGTCTCGTCATTCGAGTGACGAT